CTCTGTCATTTATTTGACCTTGTACTTGTGTGCGGTAGCTGTAATTTTATTTGCCATTCTATATAACAAATGCAGAGAAATCTAAAATATGGAGATGAACAACAGGATGGGGAAAGGAGTTCATGGTAAATATATCTGCATAGCTTAGAAAAAATAAAAGAGCAAATTTAAAGCAACCATTTACCCTTTTCACCTTCACCTCTATTAGCTCTTATTATTATCTGCAGCTACCCTGCCCTTTTGAGCAAGCTGCCTTGAAACAAGCCAGTTTGTAACCTTGTCTGCAGCTACTTTCTGCCTGGTTTACAATAGCAAGGAAATATCTTATACGAGGGTGGGGACTTGGAGAGAAGAAGGGAAGTGACTCATTATATGCATGCTGGGCACTGGAGGCAGTGGGGGGTGATTAGAACGCATTTCAGGAGCGGGCTTAGCTAGCATGGATGGTATTTTCTAATGACATCACAACCATGAAAATCTGTTAATTTCCCAGTTTGCACTAGATCTCATTTTTGTTTTAAATGGGGCTCTGTGTTAACTTGAAAACATTTTGCTAGCATATGTGTACATCAGGATCATCACCTCTCACCTCACTTTCAAGGAAAGAAGTTTTCAGGAGATACAAGTCCATTTTTATCCTCTAGTTGACTGACACCCACATCCTCTGCCACTGGCAACTAGAATGCTGACTCTCATCAGGATATAAAAGAAAATGCGAGGTTTGAATGTGGATCAGGGAAAGGTAAATTAAAACCACACAAACCACCAAACTAGTCAATGCTATTGTGAAGCCTGGATACCAGACTATCACTCTTGAAATGATCTTTGGCATGCCAGCAGGTGAGGGGTTAAAGCGCTGCTGCCTGCTTATGAGACTTGCAAATGGATATTCATGTTTGTTAATCTGGGTTATTACAGCCTTGCTGTGAAAGTGGGCTCCAAGGAAAGCAAATTGATATGTCATAATCCACATGTTAGCCGCAATAGAAATATAAAAATAAAGACCTATTTTCAGATTTGAGTTCCAGGAAAAACTTTGCTTTCCTTAAGAAACTGCTATGCTTCCCTATTGTTGAGGGTTGACTCTATTTCCCTTTATGCTTAGGTTACCAGGAAGCTCATAGCTAAATTTGAAGCTCAATTAGACTATTTATATGTCTTCTAATAAGCTTATTTGTATTCTCTTACTACATGGTGGTTATAAGAGATTACCTATTTTTTGTTTGTCTTTTTCCCCTGATTTCCTAGTTCTATTTTACCATTATTTTTATTGTATATATTTATAGAAGTTATTTTGAATCCTTTGGGGAATGAGGAAGTCAACAAATACTTCTGAAAGTTTCAAGTCTTATATCAACTAGAAATGCTTATTTATCATGTAAATTCCCTTGTAAATTCTGGGGTGATTAAACCCCTTACAGGTTCAAAGAGGTTTAATAAAAGCTGGCTACAAATCACTGCAACATTTCCAGTGATCAGGAACCTGCTCTATTTGCTTCCTTCGTTTTCGCTTCTGCCTATTCCATGACAGCTAGAGAGCAGAGTCATCCTTAGCAGCTCGGAATGCCATCATCAGGTATAAGAAGTAATTTGCTCTCTAGGCAAACTAAACTCAGCATGGCTATTTGGGGATCTCCCCTTAAGGTAAGGCCTCATGTTGAGTACCTGGGAATCAGTTTTATTCCTTATCCAAGTCAACAGTGCATATTTCTAAAAGCTGAAAGCACTTCTTGGATGTTAAGTTAAATATGTAACTAGCACTGCTGAGGAGGTTTGGACATTATCCTAGTCCACTTCATTCCCACTATCTTAACAATGTGAGAATACTTTACGGAGAACCACAGCACATGCACACCTTGCACACCAGGCACTGGTATACTCAGTGGAGCATGAAGGAAAAACTCAGCTCTGCCTGTCTCTATTGCACACTACGCAGCAGTGCTCCGTAGTTTTCCCTACTTTCTTTTTTTGTGAGCCAAAAAGGAATCCTAATTCTTCTCTAAGCATAAGCCATTTAAAAGCCACCATATTTATTTACACATTGAAAGAAAATAAAACGGAGGAAGGAATATCTTGAGAGTTAGAATTGCAGACACAGCTACGCGATGACTAACAAACTATGCCATGCTCACAATGTTCCTCCACAATTTCACTGAATAAAGTCTTTGATGACACAGTTCCACAATGTCTTTATTTAAGAAACTGTTTAAAAAGGAAAGGAGGGACTATGATTTTACAGGCTCCTTATCACTGTCTATGATTCTATGGAACAATCACCTAGCCAATGCTGTAGAACAGGAGCACTTGGTTTGCATTTTAAAAATTAAGTTTAGTGTGGGTGAGTGTGTGTGTATTTGCAAAAGAGAAAATGCTTAATTGAATAGCAATGGGTACATTTTACATTGTATGTCACCCATGAGCACTCCTACCCCAAGTGAGAAGGGCCATTAAGAAACTTGGGAAGGGTTATATCTCAGAAATCTCAAGTACCGTGTTAGGACTTTAAACCTTAACTGGGTTGGAAACCCTTTCCCAACATTTTAGCTTAGAATTTTCCCCTCATGCTTTGGGTGTTTAGAAAACATACCATGATCTTATCATATTATTTTCATGTTAACCCAAAACTATTCTTAAACTTAGGTTTTGAATTCTAAATACATACACTGATATATGTAAAAATCACTTTCTACTGATTTACCCTTAATGTTTCCATTGCATAATGCTGCCATGAGTGTTCTCTGTCTCATATCTCATAGCCCCTACCTGCATACTTGACCAGTTCTGCCAACACCAAACACAGGAGGAGGCAAACAGCACGTTCTGGCTAGTCTACCCTCAGATTAGTCAATATGCTGACTATTGGCTGGCACTGTAAAACACATCACATACAAAAGCAGGGACTGACTGCACAGAGGTTGCCAAATACTGCACCATGTCTACATAGCTGCTTTATTCTGAAGAAATCTCAATTATTTGTCTTAGATTTTAGGAAACGATTGGCTCAATGCTATAGTAGAGAAGCAATGAAATAAACTGCTCTTAAGGAGAAACCAGCACAGGGTTAAAGCCAAATTTTTCTTGAACAGATGATATTTCAGATGGCCACACTATTCCAGATGCATCAATTTCCTTGAAAATCCAATCCATATATGTGCATATGCTGTGCTGGCAGGAGGACGGACTGAAATGGCCAAAACCCAAGAGCTAATATTCTTTTGGCCAGAATAATGCAATTATTATTTTCCTAGCTATCAGTCTAAGCATACAGAGCCATCTGTTATGCAAAGCAAACATACACATCTCAATTACAGAAAATGCAGTTGCCTTGACAGAATTTGGATTACACCACTAACCAGGGCTGTAAAATGTCTTTTGAGCTAGTATATAATGGATGCTTTTCAGGAGTTCCCTAATTAGCATTTACCTGCTTAAACTAATTATTCATCCTTCTTCTTTAGTGGCTTATTAAACTTCGTTGGATACTACACACAGATGAACATGGGCACTGCAGAACAACAAACAGTGGTGTTTCCAGTTCTATGCAGTATTAATAACATGGTGGTGCACCAATTTCAAAATTGGAGATTCTTGATACTAGGTCTCAAACAGATTACGATGAGGCTTAAAGTCTATTAAAGGCTATTACAAAACCAGAGATTTCAATGAGATACAAGAATATTAACATCGAGTTAACAATAACTCAGTAGTCTATCATTTGGCTTGCTAAAGTCCACATTAAACAGAAGTACTCTACACACTACAAGCCAATAGCTTGCATATTCTTCAAGGAAAAGTTAATAGACCCTTGTTCGGATTTTCAACAGTAAATAATCGAATTTGGCAGTATTTCTCCTCTTCCCCCAACCCTCCTCAAATGTCAAATACCTCTCTTTATTATTTTCCAATGTCTTTCTTGATTTAGCAATTACCCAGCAAACTCACTAGCAGCCAAAAGGTTCCAGCCATACTGGATGTCTCCTCAGAGCTGTGCCAACACTCAGAAGCAGTGAGTCTAGGGTGGGCCTTGCTAAAGAGAGGAGAGACAAATCTTATCTCCATCTTAGCTCCAAGGGGCAACGGAATGAGAGGCAGATTATCCAACTTGGCAGATCATCACACACATACAAAATCCCTCTGACTGAGGCTGTGTTTCCCTCGTGCCAAACCACCAGATGCAAAGGGTCAAACTTAGCCCATCACCTATATGGGCACAAACACCCAGATGTGCAAGCATTTTTATGGAGAAAACATCTGGATAATTAGCTGAATTGCAAACTTTTCTCCAGAATATTTTGGCATTCTGTAGATGCAGCCTACGTCTCAGAATCCTATGGAACTGAAAATTTTGTGTTCAAGGGAAAGATCAAGAGTTAACATGCAGGATTTTGCCCCTTGCTCTGTCCAACTTCGTCTTCTTTTCTTTCAACCTCTGACAAACATGTGTCAGTAATTAAACTGCAAACAATGAAGGGCTATCTCATTTTATGAGATTGTCTTTCAGCATTAGGAAGCATTTGCAAAGGCAGCAAATATAGCCTTGCTGGAACCCTCCCTGCAACACATTTTAATGGTCTCTTTCAGCATTTCTTGACTCTAAATGACTCCCTGTCTTTGTGTCAGCTCCCAAGATAATGCAGGGTACTCCATAAACATCCAGTAATAGGACACAGGGGAAGCACTATTAGTGTGTCCCTCTCCTACCGGGCACAGAGGTTTCAAAGTTCAAAACAACCAAGGGAAGAAACTTCATTTGTTCTTAATAAATTAATAATGATCTTGGGGGGCAGAGAGGGGGCCTAAAGTTTTTGAGCACAAGTTTATTCCTAACATTCAATAGTGACACACAGGCTTCTCACTTCCTCCATGAGACAAGTCAAGTAGAGCCATTGAATAATAGATTTGATAATTCATGCTAAACCGAATATCATGCAAAGAAGAAAACGCACAAGGCTGAGGCAGCTTTCACAATCGCTATAGAGAATCTAAATTGTTTTACTTACTTGCGAGAGGCCTAGGTAGATAGAGACTGTTTCGGAAATGTACAAAAATTTTCCTTCTTGATTTAGTGCAAATACAAATCCATCCAGGGACTGCAGAAAAAAAAGATATAAATAGGTTAATAAATACATATGATGATGCATTAATGAATAAGGTAGCCAATACAAAGTGACACATATTGAATTTAGGGCCACTTTTTTCTTCATTGTTTAAAAAAGTCTTAAGATCTTTTAGTATTGCACTATACATGAACAAATTAAAGTCCTGAAGTAAGACTAGGAGCTTGCCTTTATTTCAGGGACTTCCTTATGTCTTTGTCATTATGATCACGATACATTACATTCTTGTATAAAATAGGATCATGCTGATTTTATGAGGCCACCTTTATTTATTTATTTATTGTGATTTAGTGGTTACTGAGATTAAATTAGCAAGATTCTCCATTAAAAAACTGAATAGGAATGGAAATCATAATGAAGAGAGAGAAAAGGGTTTCCTATATGAAGAGGAAGTCAAATCACCACTTAAACTACGATGGACATCAATAATTTGCTAATTAATAAAGGATTATGCCCTCCTTGCTTCCAGCGCCCACTGTGTCAGAACAGAAAAAGTCAACACCTTATGGGTGAATGTTTATTGGCTGAAACCTTACCAACTGTAATCTTTCTTTGCAAAACTCTATATCAAAGTTTTATTGTGATAGATCTAGTTTCTACTACAACTCCTGAAATGAAAACAAAAGAAGGAGGGGGGGATGAAGGATGCTACATATCATCTGTAATGCCTGAAACCTTAGTCCACTTTCCAAATGAAGGGCTGCCATTTTCAGTTTGATGAACGGTGTAAATCATCCTGGGCTTCAATTGCAATAGACCACTCAAATTGAGAATAAACTTGTTTCAAATTCTTGCAATCCAAGTGCATTTTATACCCTCCATTATCCTCACATATTTTGCTTTTTATTTATTTTTTAACAAGGCAGGGGGCAAAAGTGCTGCTTGCACAGGAAAAGAAGTTTTAAAAATTAGTGGTATTAACACAAGCTGTAAATCTGGAAACACAGGAAATCCACACTGGGCAAAAGCTATGTGGAAACACTAGATTCATGGCATAATTCTTAAAATATAGAAACAAGGAAGAAGCACATGAAATTCGGTAGGAAATATGCACTGCCTCGAATCTAACCCATAATTTCAGTCTCCTAAAACATGAACTTTTTTGGAATATAGATATATGTATTATGAAATACATGCATGCAAGTGTATATGTAAATATGTACGTATATGTGTCTATGTGTCTATATATATTTAAATATATATATGAAATTTGGATTTCCATATTTCCTGACCCGTTTTCACTGTGGGTGGGACTGTTAGTGGCACCCACACCCCTCCTCTGATTTAGTAAGTCCTAAAAACAATTCAAAAGTCACACTGCATTGCTCTACAAAAAAGCAAATTACAGGATAAATAAGCTTTTAGTAACGATAGTTTAGTAATACTGGCTTATATTTATTAAGTGATACATGCTAAGCAGTTTACATGAATTGCCACAAGCACCCTATAAGGTAATTATATTATCTGCATTTTATATATCAGGAAATTGAGGGTTAGAGAGGTTATGCAAGGTACCTGCCCTGTCCCTAGTAAATAATTGAGTTAGGTTTTGAATCCTGACAGTAGGACTCAATAAACTATACTGCCTTCCATTAAAAAGGAAGACTCTCTAATAGATACGTGTGAATTAATGAAAAAATAAATCTTCATAGCATTTCTGAACTTAAAATATCTACACTAAGGGGGCAGCCTATGGCTTCTTAAAAATTATCACTTGTTTTTGAATTATTTGTTCAAATGACAGAATCCTATCATTAGGGGCAGGAGACAAAGGGGAAAGGTAATGGAATAACAAGAGAGTTCATTAAGTCACTTCCATAACAGGTCACCTGGTTACCTTTGCCCTGTAATATCTGCTCTGGAACCATTTACGGCACAGAGAACAGAGCACTGCCTAAGAGTGCTGAGCTCTTTATATTTGACACAACTACCAGACCTTGCTGGAGCCTTGTCAGATACAACCTCGCAAACTTAAAAGAATGTGGTATGGCGGAACCTCACTTTGAACCAGTGCAAAGGGGGAAAGAAAAGTTTTCTTTCAGAAGTTTGGGGAAGATCTCATTTCAACATGTCTTCACCTCAAACACGATGTCTCGTTAGTATGACTCATGAGGATTAGGGCCCTCTTTCTTTTCACCTTCCCTACGGAGAAAAGGGTCTTACTAGGTTTTCCATCCAACCTAATAGCCACAGGCTGGCATATAATCACAGGGAATTGGTCAGCCATCTTCCCAAACCTTTGACAACACAGAGAAAAATCACAGGAGAACTTCTGTGGGGGCAAGTGACAATTGGAAGGTTGGTTGGGGAGAAGAGATAACAATTGTTGAAACTGGTGTACAGATAATACGCTACAGTTCAAATCCTCATTTTACAGGTGAAAAAACTCAGGGGCACAGAGAGGCTAAGTGGCTTATTCATTCAGTGTCCAACTAAATGGAATTTTTCAAGGGTGGGGGAATGTCTTATCCATCTTTGTCTAGCTGGCATAAAATAACTGATCAATCAAGACTTATTAAACCTAGTTCACTTCTAAGTCCAATGCTCTTTCTCTTATATCACACAGGCTAGAATGACTAAGAGGGATGGGAATTATTTTCTCCAGGAATTCTGTTTGTGGAGCTATTAGATTATTTGCAGATTCAAATGCCACTTGATTTGTAATATAGCCTTGGAGAGCTCCTGATATTTGCAAGATCAGAGTTAGACTGGATTCTTTTATAGTCCTCCAAAATACACAGTGCTATTCCTGAATAGATGTGCCATTTGCCATCTAGCTACATCTTTTACTTTCTCACTAAAGGAGAGTATGTTTTTAATATTAGGTCCTATCTCTTGTATTTACTAAAACATGATAGGAAGTTTGGGAACCACAGAAGGGAAAAGGAATGTATGGAGGCTAAATATCAGATGCGATTAAGCAGCGGCGATCTAAGAGCTGGCCAGTTTTGTTTGGCAAAAACAGAGGCTTCAACACATGTTCCAATTTCCTGGTGAGATTAAAATGAGGCTATGTCTACATGACACAAAGACATCCAGTCAATTCAATCAAACATATCAGCCAATTTGGGGGGTGGGGGAGCGGTGAGAACTAGTTAGATCAGTTGTTTGTCATCACAGAGGTAGAAAACAAAAAGGAAAACTGCTTAATTAACCCTATTTTCACTTTTATGCTCATCATTTCAATTCGTGTGAGACAAATATCCATAACTCAGGTTTGACCACCCTTCTAATAAAGAAAGGGACATAGTGGATCGGCAAGGTCACTTAGCCATTATCTTCTGATCCAGGGTCGTGCCTGTCTACCATTTGCTATGTTTTGCTGCTTAGAAAGGTATTAAGAGTAGCATCAACATTGGTTTAATTTGGGTGTCTCAATTTAAACAGGTGAGAGAAGGAGGGAAACATTCAATCAGTTAATCTCAGGGAACCGAATGTGATTAATCTGAAAGTTCTGTAGAATTTTTTAAAATTTTGAAATGAGAAAGCTATTATATACTGTTCTGTTTCAGTCACTGCAGGCTACTTTTTAATTTTTTTTTTTTTAACTGCCCACTGTTTTCAACAGGCACCAATTAAGATTCTGAGGTCCAAGGGTTAATTACATCTTCTTACCCACTATGTAGAACTTTTTGATTATTAACTAAGGTTGGATTAAGATGAAAAAGAACCTACACAAATGTTAATGCTAGTCTCTCCTCAAGAAGATTTATTATAAAGCCGTGCTGAAATCTATCTGCTTTCCTCAAAGCAGATGGAGAACAAAATCTTAGAAGAAACAGTAAAACAGACGTTTAAAAGGCATGCAAGTATCTGATTTATCAAGACAGTTTTCTTATTACTGAAAACAGTTCTAAGCCAGCCAGACAGGGCTGATAGAAGATTTCCTTTGTCACATCCCAGTAAGTCTATGAGGGACACATGCAAGGCATGAGGCTCGGATAAAGAAGTCAGGAGCTACAGCATCTCTGAATAATAATGCCTGTAATTATAATTTATATCCTCTGACATCAGTGTAACATATAAAGTGTAAGGCACAGTTTCTTAACCCCAAAAGCTGAGTGCCTCTAACAGTATTTGTCAAATGATGAGGTTATTTCCTTGCAGGGTATAAAACTAACTATAGCATCATGATTGAAGGTATACTAATGTTTAATGCATTGTGCTAAATGGATTTATATTTGTCAAAGGAGTTTTGTCTCTGCCCTTTCTTTTCTGCATATTCAGAATCTGCAACCAAATTTCACAGAGTGAAATCTTATTATGGTGCCCTTACAGGGGCAATTCTCATGTATATAACTACTCTGAAATTAGCGTTTCTTTCTTCTACATTCCAACGCAGAAGGGGGAAAAAAATCACCCAAACTCTTTTCCTATGACCTAACTCCAGTTAGAGTGAAGAATTACCAGTAGGCTAGGTTATTTTAATGACAGATTATTTTAAACTAAGCCTTCGCCATCTGTTCCACCCCCTAATTATGAATGCAAAAAGAACATATTTCACAATTACATCAGTAAAAAAGTAAGATATACGTGATTTAAATGCATGCATGTGTTCCTTGTCCAATGCACCATGCATCGGTGATGTACTACTAATTCAGGCTCAGACTGGGGAGCAAATATTCATCCATGATACAGTATAATCTTGGACACACTCAACTTTCCTCCAAACCCAGAGTTTTTCACTGTTAGGACATAGTGCTCTTATGACAAGAGTAGAATTATGTATTTGAGCACAGTCCTTGTTGGGCATTAGAAATGAGCATTTGGTAACTGCTAAAAAGGCGTTGCTGTTAATAAGGAGAGGCTCTATGGGAAAATAGCTCCTGCTACATAAGCAATGGGTTAGAAGCGGGAATTAGAGAGTCTTTTCTTGAACCACTCCTCTATCCTCCCAAAAGAGCCTGAGTGACTAAGGTAAACAGAAAAGAGGCTTGGCTTGGAGAGTGAGGACAGGGCTCCAATACCTATCT